ATAAGATGAATGGGGAGGAACTATATTTAATAATAAGAGGAATGGGGAGGAGCTATATTTAATAATAATAAGAGGAATGGGGAGGAGCTATATTTGATAATAAGAGGAATGGGGAGGAACTATATTTATTAATAGGAGCAATGGGGAGGTGCTACCTTTAATGATCGGAGGAATGGGGAGGAGCTACAATATCCTAGCACTGAAAATGCTTTCTTTGCAGGTTACAGGATACAATGTAACAGATTTACAGGGGAAGAATGGGGAGGAGCTTTATGTTAGCATTGGAAATAAATAATTGAGAGATCAGCCAATAGTGAGTGAGTAGGAGGGGCTTTCCCTGATCTCATCTCTTTTTTATATCTGATAGTTTTTATCTATTATTCAGCAACATAAGCACACAAACCTTATATGAGGTAACTGATGTCCCTACTGATGATGGGAAAAAATGTCTTGCCAGTGAATGGGCAAAAGCTGTTTTAAAATGGTGGCCAGGACCCAAGTGGTAAAGGAGCAACCAACCAACACACCCATCAAGAGTTAGATCACATCTCCCTCTGGATGACAGTGAGCTTTTGGTCCATTCTATGGTTGGTTGGTTGGTTGGTTGGTTGGATGGTCCCCTATCTGGGAAACGTGTTGAGAATTGTCCTCACCGCTACTGCAGGGATCAGCTTCAACTGAATGGAATTGACTTTTTCTTTTGGGATTGTAAAGACTTCTAAGTTTGCTGATCCGTAGATGGTTGAGGTCATCCTCAACCATCCACTCAAGACATCCAGGACATCCTCAGGACATATGGGGGTATTTGGCTACTATGTCAGAATAGCTAATATATGTACTTGTATGGACCATAAAATACCCATTTATGCGGTTGTAAAGCTTATTTTGAAGAAAAGGTCTTCTCATGACATGATTTATGCCACTATAAGGAAGATCTCTTTGTGTAGTAATTGCTTCTGACAGCCGAATCACTTGGTATTGTCCCAATCCCCACCTGGTGGTCCCAGAACATTTTTGAAGTGGGTCCATATTTTTACTCAACGTCTTGCTGTCTGTGTCTCCATTGGAAAGATTCTTCTATCTCCCTGTCCTGGTTCCATGAAGGGGTCAAAGATAATTCAACTGTTATTCACAAAGATGCCGAAGGCAATCGAGTGAGTAACCCAGCCGACGTGAAGTGAGCCGAACAACATTCGGCTTTTCACTACGGCTCAGTACGGCTGATTTCAGCCGTACATCGGCTGCCTTCAGAAGGACTTCGACACAGCCGCTCCAACATCAGGATCGGCTGAGCCGAAGCTCCGGTAGCTCACTCGCTGCCGTTCGTCCCCTATTCTAAGAGGGGATGAACAGCAGTGAGTGAATAGTGAATAGCCGAATGCCGGCATTCGGCTCGGCTATTCTGCTCGGTACCTCCGTGGTACCAAGCAGAATAGCAAATAGTGAAAAAAGTAAAAAGTAGAAAAAATATTTTTAAAAAATATAAATGAATATTAAATTATAAAAAATAAAGATTTAAAAAAAACATATTTAAAAAAAAAACAATTGGGCAGAGCTAGCAGTGACAGCTAGCTCCGCCCAACTGTTTTTAATTGGCTGGCACCCAGCCAATGAATAGCAACTGGGCGGAGCCGCCCGTGATGTCTTATCCGGCTCCACCCAGTTGTTATTGTTTAATGTCAGATCAGCATCCCCAGGTCATTTGGAGAAAGGCCGGCCTTCGCCCCGCTTCGGATGTCACTTCGGATCAGTCGAGCAGAAGCATATGCCTTCGGCTCGGCTCAGTCGCTCGTCCGTCTTCTGCTGCTTTACGGGCTATACTGAACCGAAGGGCTCTGGCGGTTGAAGAGAGCTGAAGGATCAGCCGAAGCTACGGCTGGATCCTTCGGCTCCTCTGTGAATAACCCTATAAGTTTGTCTTCCCCGCAGTACCTTATTCTGCCGCTAGATGTCCTTGGTCTGATGTCTGGCATAATTAAACCAACTTCCTCTGAGTCCAAGTCATCTTGAACCGACCCTTAGCCTGCGACTGGACACTGAGAGTAGAAGCAGCACCAACTGAGCTCATCTCTCTGTCATTCTGATCTCTCCAACTATCAGCATGCTTCTTATCAGCACATTAACTGGTTGGCTCCTTGTGCTTCCTCTCGTACTCCAGCCCTGGTGTATAGGGACTGCTAGAGGCTCTAACCGGGTCTCATTCAGGTACTTACACTGACTATATTCCAAATATACATTTAATTATGTATTAATGACTACAGAGCTGCACCGTTGTGTGTCTTTTATATCTGCCTACAGCTCAGCTCTAATGCTAATCATTCACCTAAGGATTTGTTACATTTCCTCTACAAACCCTCGGCGTCTCCTGTCTAGCAGAGCGCCCCGCCGCCCACTCAGGGCCCACCTTCCCGATCAATAAAGCATCGGTGCGTCCATCTACTCTGGCAGCAACGCGTACATTTCAAACCGCTAAATGACTTCATTACTGTGCAATACATTTCCATTATCTGTAACTGGACGAGGGCTGGCTCCATCGTACGTGCATTCTTGCGGTTTTGCTTACAGAGGGCTGTAAAACGCGCGGTGCCTTCGCAGAAAAGCCTTTTTCCGCTTTTAGGGCAGCGTAGGATCTGGGGATAAGGCCTAATGACAAAACCACCGGCTGGAAGGGCGATACGGAGGATAAACGCAGAATAGGTGACGAGCGAGAGGAGCTGAAATCTTAGACGTTGCGATGCCGCGGTGTACTTAACAAATACAGTGTGTTAATATGTAATGATGTAACCAAACTGCTCTCGGCTAGCAAATGTCTTCTCCAGAATCTCTGGAGTTCGCCGCTCCTAATCCTCGGCCCCTCAGGTTAACAAGAGGCACAAAAGGAGCGTTGACGTTTATACCGCATTGGCGTCTCGTAGCTTTGCTCGCAGACAAAGTTCTGTTTCCGATTTTGTTTCCTAATATCTCCTGACCAATGAAAAGACGGTTTTATGGGAAAACAGACATTTAAAGGGACAGGGTAGCGATCTTGTGACCCCGAAAAGACGATCTCTGTACCTAATGCTTGGGGCCCGTTCACACCATCTATTCGCGGTAACGTAGTGGCACCCCAATGCATTGCAGTGCCGGTGCATGCACTATATTTCGGTAGCTCAACACTGGTTAATGTATTGCCGTGCATTGCGCTGTGCTGCAGCGTATCTGTAAAAAATAAGTTGAGGCAACTGGACTTTCTTGAAGACGTTTCACTGGTCATCGGACCAGCTTTCCCAATTCAGAATGACTTGTACAAAAAATTATCTGGGAATAAATATGGTGAATGTTGCTCCAATCCACATAATCTGTTAGTCACAACCAGGTGTTGATGGCATTTGCATAGTGCCTTGGCGTGCCATTCAATATGAAAGGCACCCCTTTGTACCAAGCATTCAGAATGAATGGCACCTTATCATACCAACACATTCAGAATAAATGCACCCCAACGTACAATGCATTCAGAATTAATTACCACCTATAATACAAACACATTTAGAATGAATGATATCTTATCATGGTAACATATTCAGAATGAATGAGACCCCATCAAATCAACACATTCAGAATAAATGACACCCCTTTGTACCAATGCATTCAGGATGAATGGTGCCCCATCATATAATACACTCAGAATGAATGACCTCCTATCATACCAACACATTTAGAATGAATGGCACTCTATGGTAACAATGCATTCAGAATAAATGGCACCCCATTGTACCATTGCATTCAGAATGAATAACACCCAATCGTAACAAAGCATTCAGGATGAATGGCACCCTATTGTACTAATGTATCGAGAATAAATGTCACCCCATCTTAACAATGCCTTCAGAATGAATGGCACCCCTTTGTACCAATGCATTCAGGATGAATGGTGCCCCATCATATAATACACTCAGAAGGAATTACCCCCTATCAGACCAACGCATTCAGACTAAATGGAACCCCATCATACCAACACATACAGACTGAATGGCACCCCATGATACCAACACATACAGACTGAATGGCACCCCATGATACCAACACATACAGACTGAATGGCACCCCATGATACCAACACATACAGAAGGCTGAATGGCCCCCCATCGGTCCAACACATACAGACTGAATGGCACCCCATGGTACCAACACATACAGACTGAATGGCACCCCATCGTGCCAACACATACAGACTGAATGGCACCCCATGGTACCAACACATACAGACTGAATGGCACCCCATCGTGCCAACACATACAGACTGAATGGCACCCCATGATACCAACACATACAGACTGAATGGCACCCCATCGTGCCAACACATACAGACTGAATGGCACCCCATGATACCAACACATACAGACTGAATGGCATCCCATTGTACCAATGCGTTCATAAGGAATGGTACCATATAATATCAATATATGGCACCCCATCATACCAACACATACAGACTGAATGGCACCCCATCATACCAACATATTCAGAATGAATCTCTTTGTACCAATGCATTCAGGATGACTGGCGCCCCATCATATAATACTCAGAATGAATGACCCCCTATCAGACCAAGGCATTCTGAGTGAATGGCACCCTAGTGTACCAGCACATTCACATTGAATGGCACCCCATCATAACAATGCACTTAACGTTGCCCCACGTTACCACAAATAGATGATACGACACGGTAGTATTGCCCTTCACTCCTCCCCAGGTAGCTACATAAAAGGTTATGTAGGGAGATAAGGGGAGGAGCACTCCCTCCGATATTTAATACTGTTATGCACACTCAGATGCTGAGAGACAGTGTTTGGGCTTTAAAGAACAGAAATATAAGAGTTTATTTCTCCTGTAACCGCTGACCCTGAAGCTGCGCAAAATGTTTTACATGGTTTGCCTTGCTTGCTTTAATCGGGCTTTCTATGGCCCATTCTTGGACCCGTCCATTCACCTCTTACCCTGTGTGTGTTTTTTGTTTGTAGGAACAAGAAGATCCAAATAAACTGGCGACCAGCTGGCCGGACTATTACATTGACCGAATCAACTCCATGGCAGCAGTAAGTCATTTTTGTCTTATTTATTTTTTTTTTATTTTTTTATTTTAATGAATAGATTTGTCTTATAAATGAGCTATTTTGAGAGAAAGGGGGTTAAGTAAGTGACTTTTGTCTTATTTATTTTTTTTTTATTTTTTTATTTTAATGAATAGATTTGTCTTATAAATGAGCTATTTTGAGAGAAAGGGGGTTTTGCATCACTTGGGTGTGCCCAGCCTGCCTGGCAGGGATAATTAAAGCAGAGGTTCTCAACTGCACAGATATATGAGGAAGCACCATCCACTGTCTCTGTTAGATTGTCCATTTATTTATTAGCTGGAGGCGGAGCTGGGACTCCCCAAAGTAGGTGGGAACTCTCACAATTTAAAAAGAACAGGACAGTGGACTTTGGTGGGGGAATCTCACTGCTTGAGATCACCGTGGAATCTCGCTGCTTGAGATCACCGTGGAATCTCGCTGCTTGAGATCACCGTGGAATCTCGCTGCTTGAGATCACCGTGGAATCTCGCTGCTTGAGATCACCGGGGAATCTCGCTGCTTGAGATCACCGGGGAATCTCGCTGCTTGAGATCACCAGGGAATCTTGTGGGCAAGCAGATGACTCAGCCCACCATTCTCCGCCCTTCATTCTCTGCCCACCATTCTCTGCCCACCATTCTCTGCCCACCATTCTATGCCCACCATTCTAGGCCCACCATTCTTCCATAATAGCTCATTTAATCAATAAATAGATTTCTCTTATACATGACAGCCTCTTGTTAACTGTTAATGGTCTTGGATGCCTCTTATTTGGGAACCAGTGGGTGGAGCTCATAACCTGGAAACATTTGGCCTGCATATTCCCAGGCTCAGATCCAGAAAATACCAACAGGGCTAACAAATGACAGATGAGCCAATCAGCCGGATTTGCATTGTCCTTTATAAACTGACCATTTATAACAGTTATCTATTTCAGTACAACTAGTACGAGTTTCAGAGTTTGTCTTCAACTTCAGCAGGGTCTGTTGCTGTGCACATATGCTGACAGGCAACATGCTTACAGGAGGAGAAAGCAAAAGGGGGCAGGTCAGTGACCAAGCTATACTGCCGGACTGCACTGGAGGTCAAGCTGCCATGTGTGCTGTTTGGTATAGATGTCTTGATCACAAAACGGACTGAACAGAACTATAAATTCTTTGGCAAGTATATATATTGATTAGTATTCAGCTCCTTGCCTGAATTTTGGCTTTCAGGGGGTTTTATATTGCCGGGAACAGGACAGCCGACTGGTTGTTTTCTTAGTCTGCTGATTTATGGTCGTATTGTGTTGTTGGACGTCACATATTTTAATGAAGGAGCTCGGGGAGCTCTTCTTTCATCTGGCCGTTCATAAAGAATTCCTCATCCATCAGTGAGTGGGGGGTCCCCGGTGTGCCGCACTTTGCACCGCCATTAGAGGAGACGCTGTATGGGAAGGTCCCCCCGATTACAGG